TATACATGTACACATACATACACATATATGTAGTCATCATCGACTGAAACTTTATTATGTAGTGTGTGGTTTATAATTGGCATAACAGCTAACAGATTTAGCTTTAGTACCTTACATTCCTAGGTGAGTGCCATCTCTTTGGGGTCACATGTCCACTCTAGGTTCACCTGTGTGGTGTACCCCTTTAGGTGATGTGGGTGGAACAAAATCTCCAGGGAGAAAGTTCCAGGCTACTATAGTTACTTTGTGAACAGAATTTTTTTCTGTTAATTACCACTCCCCGCCCCCTCCCCCACCCCGCACTTTATTATTTTTTTTCTTTGAAGGATTTTGGAAACCCAAGTCCCAATATTGGATGTAGCTCAGTAGCACTTATCTCAGTTTTAAGTTCTTACAGGGTAGGATTTAGGAGTTGACTCCTTCCCCATTCCCCTTTCTCATCCCCAGCTTCTAACTTAAATCTGGCAGTCAGCAAATGTGTTTGGGTAAGTTAATGAGAATTCTGGATGGACAGAAAAAATGTATTCGGTGCAGAATAAAAGGAGGGCTATTCTCTGGTGTGTCTCAGTCAGGGTTAGATTTGCTTATGGGTTTGTTCTACTGTCTTGGGACTAGGGTACCACAAAGGCTCTTCTGGTATGTTTGTCTTTTTATTTGGTTGGGTTTTTTTGTTTTGTATTTTTCAAAACAAGGTTTCTCTTTGTAGTCCTGGCTGTCCTGTAGACCAGGCTGGCCTCGGACTCACAGAGATCCACCTGTCTTTGTCTCCCAAGTGTTGGGATTAAAGGTGTGCACCACCACTTCTTGGCTTACTGTGTCTTTTTGACACAGTTCCTGACCTTTGATTTTTCCCTGTGGATGAAAGGAAGTAAGCATGAAATTAAACTTTTAGGGTTGTCTGAGCTATGGAGCTTGAGCAGTATGCAGCATCTAAGTTGCTAATCGTTTTTGTTTGTAGGATGTGGTTTTATTTCTCCAAGAATTTAAGACTCCTGACATGTTCATGGGAGTGCTGGCCAAATCCAGGTGCCCCCAATTAAGAGTAGGTGTGCACAGTTCTTCTCTCTAGTTTTGTTTATTCGAATAAATCGTGTAAAAATAATTACTGGACATTCTTAGGTAACATACTCCTTGAAATGACTAGATATGTAGAATTTTAGATTTGGATTAGATTAGGGAGAGCAATAATTTAACAGCTGTGGAAACCAGATAGACGTAACCATACTAGGCTGCTAAGAAGTGACAGAGCCAGAAACAGTGCCCAGACCCGCCGTTTATTTCTCAGTTCATTGTTCTTTTTATTCACAAAGACCTCCATTGCCTAACAAAGTCTTAAAGTCGTTGCTGGTCAGGACTCCCAGTCTGATTGTGAGAACTTCGGTGTACAATCTACCCGCATGCTCTTCCTGGTCCAGGGCGGTCTTTAGCCTGGCTCACCAGCATGTGACCATTTCCAGCCTTCCCTTCCCTTTCAGTCTGTTACTCAGTGTGGCACTTTTCTGCCTTGTGGTCACTGCTGAGAGCAAGCTCCCAAGAGCAACAGCTGGAACTCCGTGAGCAGTGCAGTGTCCTGAGCTTTCCTGTCTGTCTCTGTGTGCAGTGCACTCCGTGAGCAGTGCAGTGTCCTGAGCTTTCCTGTCTGTGTCTGTGTGCAGTGCACTCCGTGAGCAGTGCAGTGCACCGAGCTTTCCTGTCTGTCTCTGTGCAGTGCACTCTGTGAGCAGTGCAGTGTCCCGAGCTTTCCTGCCTGTCTCTGTGCAGTGCACTCCGTGAGCAGTGCAGTGTCCTGAGCTTTCCTGTCTCTGTGCAGTGCACTCTGTGAGCAGTGCAGTGTCCCGAGCTTTCCTGTCTCTCTGTGTGTGCAGTGCACTCCGTGAGCAGTGCAGTGTCCTGAGCTTTCCTGTCTCTCTCTGTGTGCAGTGCACTCTGTGAGCAGTGCAGTGTCCCGAGCTTTCCTGTCT